GATGGGGAAACCCAAAGGGGAGAGGGGGTGCCTGGGGGTCTAGCACAGGGGAGAGGGGCCCGGGGCCCGCACCGTGAGGTTGCGCTCAGAGTCCCCACGGGAGCGGTGCAAGGGGCTCTGCTGACTGCAACACATTTGAACGTTTCACTCCATTCCAAGAGAGTTTTACTGGGCAGCACCAGGGTAAACCCCACGGATAAAATGAGTTTGCTGTGCTGGCCAAAACACCTCGTCACGTTAACTGTGCGGGATTGTTAAACATCACACACGCACCCACCGTTCACTGCTTGCCAGTAGCTTCCCTAGTTGTTTCTAGTTCTAATTGTGTTGGCCTTCCTGCTCTGTAGCACCGTGCCCCTACCATCTGGATTTGTAAACAAACAAGGGTAAATCCCAACAACATACTGTTCCCACCGTGTTCGACAAACATGCTTAGAGTCCGCAGATTTCCAGCTTGCCTGTCACTAGCCAGGTCAAACCATATATGGGTTGTGACAATTTTCTTCTACTATTTGATCTGAGGAAGTGGGTCTTGCCCAGGAAAGCTCATGGTCTAATAAACCATCTTGTTAGTCTTTAAAGTGCTACATAGTCCTGTTTTTTCCTTTCTCAAATGTCTTTGTTAGCTTTCACAATCGCACCTCATCTAATTTGCATTTCTTGCCCTTGTCTACAAGGCACAGGAGAATTTAGCTCCAGCCTTTCCGCTCTCCTGGGTTCCGACACCTCCCTCACTTTTCCAAACCTGCAAAACTAATGGTTCCTTTTGTGGCTCCCGCTCTTGTTTCCATGTCTTCTATGAATTGTGTCTTTCTTCTGAAACACTCTCTATGAGTGGGCTGGAAACTAATGTGAAAAGTTTATATTCCGTTTGTAAATATTTGTAGGTAGTTTCTCATACCAATTATGATGACAGAATAACATCTGATTTAGTAAGGGGAAAGCTTTAGACTAGTGTTTCAGCCAGTGTACAAATACCCTTAGGGGTACTCAAGAAGTCTGGGGGGGAGGGGTACATCAACACAACTGAAATTTGGAGAAAACTGAATTTTTGTTTTAAGTTTTACATCTCTTTATTATTTTTATACTTTTTACATGCAAAAATTTAATCGCCTGCCTGGCTATGATTAAGTTGTTTAAACAAATGTGCTGCAACAGTAGAAAAAAAATGTGGGTGTCTGAAAACTGTAGGTACTGAGGGTTACTTATAATTTTATTTTATTTTTTTTTGAAAAAGGGGTACTTTAGAAAAAGAAAGGTTGAGAAACACTGCTCTAGACTAGGACTTAGTTCTGAGTTTGGTTCTATCAATGGCTGCTATTTCCGTAAAATGGGGATAATATTTCCTATCTCTCACCCTCTTTTTGTCTATTTAAATTGTAAGATTGTCCACCAGGGACAGGCTTTTATTCTTTTTTTATTCACTACCCTGTTAAAATGGGCCCTGATCTTCTTTTGGGCTGCTAGGCATTACCATACAAATAATAATAGACACCAATGTAACAGATGATAATCTGATTTTTGGAGTTTCAAGACAGATTAAATGTTTGAAAACTCACATAAGAATGGTCATACTGGGTCAAACCAAAGATGCACCTAGCCCAGTGTCATATCTTCTGACAGGGACCATTGCTTTCTAGAAAATCTAAAGGGTGATTTGAAAAATCAGAATATTTTGCAAAAATTCCAAACACTCGTTTGCAGATGCATCAGTTTTGTGTGGCTACTGCTGGGTGTATTTTCAGATCCTGGACAGCAGGATGTTTTGATAAGCTAATTATTTTTCCCTTCTCATAAACTAAACAGGTTATGAGAGAAATATAAGGTAAAGAGTGACACTGAAGAAAGATGAGATTTGGCTGTCTTTCCTTTCGGCAACCCTATGCTGGATTGGTGTTGAACAAAATCAAAACAGTAGAGACTCGTTGGCGTCCTTTGTTGGCAGACTACAACAACTGCACTATTGCTATTCACATAGCTTTTAAGGACTGGGAAGATGAAACCTGGAAAGAAATCCTTCTGAATAGACTTGCCATGACACCTACACAAGTTCAAGAGTTATTGGAAAAAGGGGAAAAATTTGGTAGAGGAGTTATTGCTGGTAAGCAATGCTGATCTTTTTTTATTGCAAGCAGTTTTAAATTTGTAAACAGTTTAAGCACTAATTTTGTAACCTGTCTCTAGACAACTTTTTTACATATAACTTTGTAAAATTTTTGTGAGAGACTGTGAACTTCATAAAAACATTTAAAATAAAATACTGAATAAGTACAAAGGGTTGTATTTTGCTGTCCTTTTCACCTGTGCAATTCATTGATCTCAGTGATATTGAGGAGGTGGAAATGGGATCATATTTGGGCCAAAAATTGTAGAGTAGTATATAGAATTTTAAAGTGTAGCTGAACTTAGAAAAGTGATTCTGTAAGGTGTCAATCCTGCCAAGATGTAAGTACAAGTTTAATTTTAGGTTCTATGAGTAGAGGCACTGAAGTCACCAAGACTACTTGCTGTGTGCAGGATTGGTGTTTAAATTTTCAAATGGCGGCACCCTCTTCATCTCTCTCTTTCATGAGCACACAAAATTGCACCTATGCCTGTTACTGGGGGCATGTCTGTGCTAATGTATACTAACTAAACATACTAATCTTTGTGTGAGCATATTCAATATCCTAATATACATGCAAATACTAGAATTTTAAATCCACAAATGCCATTCGGGCCAGAGTTTTTTGGATGCAAACTTTTGTGTGCACTAAGTTTTTGGAATAGTTAACGCAAATGGTAATTGTTTGCATCCATATTGTGTGTCTGCAGTTTTAATGCTGACAAGTGGAAAATTTACTTCTCACCCTTGAATATTTATTAATCTAATTTGTGTCATTTACAAGTAAAAAGGTAATTCTTCAAATAGCTATCAGTGAAAACTTTTAGTCTAATATATATTTGAGAGAGTTTGTCTGTCTATCTGTTCAAGAACTCCTAAAAGGTAAGCTAGCATCACCAAATTTGGTATACAGCTTCCTCTTATCATAACAAAGCAATGTAAGGGTTCAGTTGTGCCAGGAAAATGGGATGTGCCTGGAATGGAATTATTATCATAAAACCAAACATAAATGAGACAGGTGAAAGGGGCTGGCTGGGGGAGGTCCACCCCCAGGAGTCCTTTGAAGCTCCCCCACCCTCCATGTGATACAGGAACACGGCTGCCTATTCTCCTTCATCATAGAGTGAGAGGAAAGCACACAGTTTGCTGCATTCTTCACTCTGGCTGAGGAGTGCAGGAGGCAGACACACCTGAACCTGCCCAGCCTGGCTGTGCCTACTGGAGCTGCAGTGACATGGAGAGGCACTTCTCATCTGGCCTCCATCTGAGGGCTGGGGTAATCCACTCTCCCTTGGGCAGCCTGCATACTAAACCCCTCATCTCCAGCCCCCTCTCCCCCCAATGATTTGAACGAAGAAAAACAAAAATTAAGGACCCAAGCAAAGCTGGGTACATCATGTAGTATTAAAAATATACAATTGAGTTATTTGGCTCTTTTCATTATCAGCAGTAATAATAATTTTGGAACTAAGAGTTATCTGACATGTCTTACAATGCCAGAAACAGCATGGAATGCAACTTAACCTTTCGTACCTGTGTTGACTTCAAGTGCCAGCAGAACTAAACATTTTGATCTAGTGCCTGCAGAGACTTTACTTATTCTCTCAAGTACTCCATTTATTTTAATCAGTCTAGTTTGAGGTTATTTACATGCTTAAAAGTTTGCGGGATTGTACCTTAGATTTCAGTGTGTTGCATAGGGGAGTCCTCTATGGTCAGCCGTTATATGGTCAGGACTCACATGTGCACCTTGTATTAAAGTTTTCACTCTTATGCTGATTGTAATTAGGCTTAGACATAGGAATTTAAAATCCCATTTAATTAGTTAACCGGTTAAACATTAAGTTTAAACAGGGCTGGGCTGGAGCAGCTCCTGTGCTGCAGGCAGGGATTGCTCCAGCTCCACCTCCGCCTCCGCATGGCTGTGGGCTCTCAGCCTGTGCCTCCCTGGCTGCCGACTCCCACCCCCCATGGGTTTGGAGCTAGCAGGCTGGGGGCAGAAGGTTGCTCCTGGGTGCTTATTAGAGTATGCAGCCCTCCGCCCACAGCAGGCTGGGGGCAGAAGGCTGCTCCTGGGTGCTTATTAGAGTATCATTTAAGAATATTTACTTTGTATATTTTGACATGTGAAATTGATCATTTGTGTTTTAATGGATATAAAGCTTTCATTTTTTGAATCTCAATGTTTACTGTCTAAAGTCTGTTGGCTGATCCCTACCTTATAGTTTCCAGCAACTACAAACAATTAAATCTATAACTTTCCAAAAAGAATGCTTAAAACTAAACATATTATTTGAATGTATTTGAATTACTTGAATTTGAAATTATTAAAAAACAAAATAGGAGTTCTAGCCAGCTTACTTATGAACACTGTTTTAACACTTGTTCTGAAGCAGTGGCCAGCTGGTATGATTGGTCAGCAATGATGTCCAGGTGTGGCCCTGAAGGCTCTAAATTGAGGCCTTGAGGGTGACATTTTTAAAAATGAACTTTGCATTTGATTACAGTCTGAAAGTGTTTTCCTTGAACTGCGTCCTCTTGACTTTTAAATTAAAATATTTGAATCCGGTCTTAGGTATAGGGAGACTGTAGGGGACACGGCTTCCTGAAGCACCTTTATGAGCACATCTGCTCAGATTCTGCTGGATCACAGGAGAGGAAAAAGTCGCTTTGATTTCTCTGTTACATGCTTGAGATGTGGACCTGTAGCTAAAGAAGAATAGGACTCAGTTTGCTTTTCCTGAGCCCAGGAAAATAGTTAAAGTATTCAATATGGCCTGCTGAGCTTTTTTTATACACTGCTGCTATTCAGACTGCAAAAATTAGTAGTTTTGTGCCCAGCTTATAAGAGTTTGAGAAGGTCTAAAATGGGGCAGATACTAAATTTGTTACTAAAAACGCTGATTCTACATATTTTATCTTGCATATTGAGCTCCTGAAACCTGTTGCTGATATCATTTTACGGTGCTTATGTAGTTAAATGAAATCATGGCTTGTTTTTCATGTCATATTAATACATTATTTGGATGTCTGCCCTGCCTCTCTCAATTGAAAGAGTTGTACAAATGGTTGGATACTCCATCAAATATTGTTTTTTATTGTTTGGGAAATGGGTCACAAATGAGGGATTTTTCAGGGCCAAAGGAGGTCATCTCTGGTGCCCCTGCTGCTGCCCCCTGCCCCTCCCCCATCTCCTGGCTCCTGGACCCCGCAGCCCAGCTGAGCCACACAACAGCTCCCAGACCCCGCAGCCCAGCTTACCTACACACTGACTCTCCAACCCTCCCCACCACAGCCCAGCTGAGCCGCATGTTCCCACCCCACTCCCAGTGTGCCCGTACTCTCTGATCCTTGGAACATGTTGCCAGACCAGAAAATTTTGGTTTATAGTAGGGATGTTGAATTGCGTTTTGTCAGCTAATTGAGTAATTGATGGAATTTCCATTGACTACTCGATTAGTCGATAAGGGGGGAAACTGCTGAGCCACAGTGGGATTAACTTCCAACCCTGCCTTTTAAATATATTAAGAGCCAGGACAGCTGATTCCCAGTTCACGCCCAGTCCCTCCATCTATGCCTCTTCCTCTCCTGTCTCCTGCAAAGATGGTGCTGGGGGGAACCAGCTTTTAACCGGCACCCCCTCTCCCCCCGCTGCCTCTTTCTGATAGAGACAGTAAAGGGTGGGGAGGGGAAGCGACTCATCAAGTCACTACTCAACTACCTGATAAGCATATATCCCTAGTTTATAGAGGTGCAACGTGTATGTCTTCACAGTAAATTGTGTTAAAGTAGATGTACTTACTGTATGTGTAGTTGTGAAGTTTGTATCCATTATTTGTTGTTTTTAGACTCATCTGTATCAATTCTTTTGTCACATCAACTCTTGTGTTTTCATTTGAATACTTTTCCTGAGAGAAAGTTCATTGCATGCACCAAAATATTGGTATAGTACTGAAAATTGTCAGGTAGTATGTAGATTTGTAACCTCTACATAAGTCACATGCGAAACTATGAAATGAAATGAACATTTATTTGGTCTTTATTTCATAAAGGCTTTTAACCACTGAAAAATATGAAAATTATTGCTAATACCCCTTTTACTTTCTTTGTCAATATTTTAATAAAACAGGCAAATTCTGCTGCTATAAATTGACATAGATCTATATTTAAGAAGAGCTGTTCCTAGGCTGGATGTGGTGTCTAAGTTTTCAATAATATTTCAGTAGCTGCAGAAGAACTTATTTTTAACAGAATTACAACATCACATTGAATTTTTAATCTTTCAGCTGCATGCTTCAGCTCATTTTTCTTCTTCAGTCACATACGCTGCTTTCTGGGGAGACTGACACTTGTTGTTTAAGGTGTGTTTATTGGATGTAGAGACCTTCCTATAATATAAATGTTGTTTTACATGTGAACTGAAGGGAGGTTGAGAATTTATTTTGGAAAACTTCTATTGGGAAGGGGACCTAACCTACCAAGTAACTTCTGTATTTATAACACAGGGCTAGTTGACATTGGAGAGACATCACGGTATCCAGAAAACTTATCTCCAGAGAAGATTTTGGAGCTGGAAAATCAAGCTGTACTAACTAGCCTGGAACAGAAATACTTGACTGTTATTTCAAATCCAAGATGGTTACTGGAACCAATTCCTGCTAGAGGGGGCAAAGATATATGGAAAGTGGATATCCCAAAGGAACTGATCCCTTTGGAATAGTAAGCTATATTTGTGCCTTCCTGAGTTTAAAGCTATAGTATCAGATGTCATTACTTTAGCTTTGTAGATGTAGGCGATTTTTAATTTTTCCCAAGCTGTAATCTGGATTGTATTCCTGGTGAATTTTTTTTTTTTATATATATAGAAATAGATAGTTGAGGCAAAAACTGATTTGGGTTTTTTCTTTTTTTTTCATGACCCCAGAATAAAAAGTTGAAATAATGAAAAAATGTATGGAATTAACTTTCTACCAACTAATGAAGAGATGTCATTGTAATGACCGTTATTGATATTTATATTTATTATACATCTTGTATGTGCTTATGTGGACAATTGTTAATAAATATTTTAATATTTTAATGTATTGAGATATAGATATATGTATTTTAAATGCTGAAACCTAAAAAGAGGTGTTTCTGCTTAAGGATGTTACGTTTACATTAATCAACTAATCGAATAGTTGATGTAATTTGCATTGACTAGTCAATTAATCAATAAGGGCGCCTCTGCCTTTGAAATGTAGCAAGAGCCCTGCAAGCTCTTGCTACATTTCAAAAGCAAAGCAGGCACTGGAAGCACGGGGCCAGCAGGTGCTTGAGTCCCCTGCTCGTCCCATGCTCCCCATGATGCTTCTGCTTTTGAAATGAAGCAAAAGTCCCGCTCTTGCTACATTTCAAAGGTGGAAGCGCCACCAGTTCTCTGCTGCCCCCCTGCCCATGGAGATGGTGCTGGGAGGAGAACCAGCTTTTAAGCTGGCTCCCCCAGCACCGGATCCTGCTCCGCCCCTCCCCCCCCCCACCGGCTGCCTCTCTCTGATAGAGGCAGCGGGGCTGGGGGGAGGCGACTAGTCGACTATCCAATAAGCATATGCTTATGGGATAGTCAACTGGTCACTTACATACCTAGTTGCTATATCAGGCTGTGGGAGGATAATGGAATGAGTGTTCAGTTACATTTGTTGTAAATAGAAACTGAGGCCCTGGCCCGAGAAAGATTTATGCATGTGAATAGTACCATTGACGCGCTCTCTCTCTTTTAATTTCAGTGGCACTATTCAAGTTCTTTTAAGGATGTGTTAAAGTCTTAGTAGGATGGACTAAAAATGAGGACTACATTTTAAATTAGCATCAGTGTTTCGAAGCAAGATACAACTCTTACTCTCAGGCATAGGCCTTATTTTGAAATAAAATATATGAATATCTGCTTAGGTATTAGTAGGTGTTTCATTTTCCCCTACATATGTAGGTACAGGCAGTCCCCAGGTTACGTACAAGATAGGGACTGTAGGTTTCTCTCCGCGTCTCCCTGGTCTGCTGGGGGGGGGGCGCAGCTCGGGCGGGGTGTCTCCCCCACTGTCGCCGCC